ATGGATATTTTGTGGGTATTAAGTAATATCAAGAAAGCAAAGCACTCAACATAAAATAGGTATTTGAAATGTCAGTTACTGTCCCTCTTTTCAGATTACCTATGTCCACTTTTAAATTCTAAAGACTTCACAGGTATTTTCCTACCTAAGGCAGAAATAGGCTCAACTTCCGAACTCCCAAAAGGAGACAGGAAACAACTCAAGGTCTTTGCTTTTTTTTGTGGGCATATTTCCCTCTCCACTCCAGGACAAAACATCATCCAGAAATAGATGAATATAAAAAAATAAAAGATATGTCAGGTTAGTCTTCGTCACAGCAAGAGCAGGAACAAGTCAGAAGAGACAGATGTGTTTAATGGCCAATGCATTTGTCCAAAGGAATCATTTTCACTGGCCAGGAGCCCAATTAAACCTGTAAAATGGAAATCCAGAAAATCAGATTAACGAGCCAGTCATTAGTAAGGAAAAGACCCAGCTAATTCTGAGTTTAGCATGACGGATGGGCCCAGAGCAAATAATCGGATGACATTCATCAAATGTAAAATAAAAGGTGTCACAGGAAGGGAAAGTGGTAATAATCTCTGGGATTTACAGTGCCAGCAAATTTGCTTGTAAGGAAGAGAAAAGTTCATCAAAATAGATTAATAGTTGCTAAACTTTATTTCTTCCTTGTGTGGTTGCCAGAGAGCCACACAAATAATTGTGGAAAGGCAGCAAATACATCAGCCTGGTATCAGCCTGATGCTGCAGAGACTGCTCCTGAGAGAGGGAACTAGAGCTTCATTATGGCCTTGGATTAGTGGTGAACCACTGGAGGAAGCTGGCCAAACTCCAGGTCTCTTGGGTGCAGCTGGTGAGTCTGAACAACACATTAGCCCATGATTATTGACCCCTGTTCTGTGCTGGACTCTGAGGGACGGACATCTCCGTCCCTGGTTAAGCATGGGTAACAGGAAGGAGTAGGAGGGGGATTCATCCTCAGGCTCAGTGCTCTCCAGCTTGTGAGCTTGTGAAATCAAAGAAGGGAAGCAAGTGTGAGCTAGGGTAATGGGGCAGCCATAGGATAGACGTTCCTGTTTGAAAAGGGGTAGGACACAAGAAAGGAGTAACAGGTCCCAAGGAAGCCCAGGAGCCCGCAAGGTGAACAACATTAACTCTGGAGCTCCCTGAGATTATCTTTGATACCATGTCCCGCCTCCCACGTACCTGAGTTAGGGCCAGAGTTGAGTCCCCAGCCTCCAGCAGACCTCACTGTCGTGGCTTTCCCACTTCTCACAGTGCCCACAGTTCCCCATTGGCGGCTCTACAGCTGTGGGATCTTGGGAGGGGCTCCAGTCCTATGGCTCTGCTGGGCATTGCCCTAGTGGCCATGGAAATGGTCATGGCTCCACTGCCCGAGTTCTCTGTCTGCCATGTGCATGCTGTCAAGGTTTCCCCCCTGCAGGCTCAGCGTGAGCCACACCTGAGTCATAGCAGGGAGTGCTGACCAGAGCTTGGGAACCAGAGACTTAGGGCAGTGCCCGCTAGCCAGCCTGGAGGCCTCACATCCTCCCTGGAAACCTCTCTGTCTCCAGGCCCTGCCACTCTGGGTATGGATGGGAGTGGAGCTGCAAAAATCTCTCTTCTTTCATTGTCCTGACTAACACCAGCTGGCTTCCTTCATTCATGCTAATCTCCTTACAAAATAGTTCCCCGGCCACACCCTCGTTGTCCTCTCCCAAACATGCCTTTTTATTCTTGCAATGGCCAAGCTGAGAATTTTCCAAGGCTTTAAATTCTGCTTCCCTTTTGATTATAAGCTACCTATGGTCTGTTTACCTCACATTTTCCTATCAGCTGTCAAAGGAAGCCATGCCACCTCCTCAACACTTTGTTTAGATGTTTCTTCTGCCAAATATTCTAGTTCTTTGCTTGCAAGTTTTGCTTTCCATGAAGCATTGGACAAAGAAATTCAGTCCTATTCTTTGCCACTTTATAGCACGGGTTTCCAATACTTTGCTCTTCGTTTCTGTCTAAGACCGAATTAGCACTATTTTCACAGTCCGGATTTCTGCCAGCATTCTGATCACAGCCACTTAGGTCATGAGCAGATCAAAGCTTTCTCTCCAGCTCCCCTCTTCTTGGGAACTGTCACCTGAATCACCTGTATTATTCTGTTCCTGGTCCTACAGGTGTTTGCTAGCACTTTCATTCCAAAACAATTCTAGCCTTTAACCACTACTGTAGTTCCAAAGCCATTTATTCAAATGTCAAACACCTCACCTCTCAGTAGCAATTTCTATCTGAGACTATTTCTACTGCTATAACAAAATACTTTAGACTGAGTACTTTATAAACAACAAAAGTTTATTTCTCAATTCCCACACAGATGGAGAAGTCCAAGATCAAAGCACAATCAGGCTCAGGGCCTGGGAGGGCCCTATCTTTGCTTGTAGCATGGCGCCTCGACCAGTGAGTCCTCACATGGCAGAAGGAACAGCAGCACAAAACAGGGCTTATGTGAGTCCTATAGGTGTCAAGGATAAGGCACCCATCCCTTCATGAGGGAGGAGCCTTCGTGGCCTCATTACTTCTTAAAGGGAGGTCCCTTTTAATACAGTTGTATTTAAAGTTAAATTTCAACATGAATTTTGGAGAGGAGACAAACATTCAAACTATAGAAGCAGCGTTGTCTAGGAGTTAAAGAGGTTACCGAATTGTAGTAAGAGGTGGAGGAATAGTTACAGGAATACCTAGACTACGTATCCACAAGGGTAATTGTGAGCCAGGTGTGGTGGCTCAGTCTCACACCTGCAATCCCAGCACTTCCTGCCTGAGGCAGGAAGACTACAAAGACTGCAAGTTCAAGAACAGCTTGGGCTACATAGCAACACCTTGTCTCAATTTTAAAAAAAAAAGGAGTTCAGGAGTTGATTGGTGGGAGAAATTACAATGAATTGGTGGCATCAAATACCCTTCTATGGACTCATGAGATTCCATGTGATAGTTGACCAGAGGGTATATTCTGGGGCCTCAGACACTTTATTGTGGGCATGAGTTCTTCCTTGGAGGTGATAAAAGCATTTTAGGACAAAATAGGATGATTGGACAACACTGTGAAGATGCTCAGCGTGTTGAATTGTACATTTTTAACAGTAAGGTTTAGTTATGTGAATTTCTCCTCAGTGTTTTAAAGCTTTCTCATCATTGTGAACAGATTTCAGAAAAGTAGTTAGGCCTGGGGAGGAGGCAGGGTCAGGACGGTGAGGAGCGTGGAGGTGTGTGTCATTGCTGGTCAGAGCCGAGTCTGGTGTTCCAGGTGCAGCCCCCAGACCAGCAGCAGCAGTACCCAGACGTTTGTTAGAAAAGAAAATTAAACACCAGCCCAGCTCTACTGAATGAGTCCTGGGACCCAGCAGCCTGAGTTTAAATAAGCTTTCCAGGTGGTTCTGACGTATGTTACACTTTAAAACTATTGATCTAGTTCTTGGATTGGCAGGTGTGTTTACATGTGTTTGTTTTATAATTAAAAATAAAACCAAATCAAACAAATAAATAAACAGGATCATGCCATGACTGAGGGTGACTGTGTGTCCAGATCCAAAGATTATGTTTTAACCCAAGGCTAAAACTTAAGGCTTATTTTGAAAAGAGAGGAAAAGAAGACTTCTGAGCACCCCATTGATCTTAATACACCAATACCCACCTCTGAGCCAATGAAGCAATCTAGATTCCTAACAGGCTCTTACCAAAAGAGAAATAATCAGCATCACAATACAAGCTTGGCTCCAATTAGAAAATAGAGGCCTAGGGTGCTGCTGAACATCAGGGAGAAACTAGTCTCTCCCGTCCCTAAGCCAAGCCTGTGCCCAGAATTTCCCCAATGCTCCGCTGTGTACTGATTCTGACATCTGCTGCACCTGGTAGCCTGGGGTACCTGCTCTCTGGGCCTCTAACCTGCACAGAGCCAAGGGGAGCCTGGGAGAGGCTTCTCTTGGAGTGAGGAGCCAGGGGTGGCTCCTAGCAGTGATGTTGCGCCCGCTCTGCTGCCAGCAGTTGCTGTGGTTAGGACTGGAGTAGAAGCCTGGCCAGGCGCTGGCATGGACTTGGGCCTCGGTGAGGACGGGCACATGTCTGGAGTAATCGCCTCCTCAGCACGGCAGCTTAACTGCTATTGTTGCCTGCTATTTTCTCTGAGCAGGCCGTGACACCTTCTGCTGTGAATATTAATTTCCCTTGAGTTAGGATAATTGGGCTGAGAGCAGCACTTTGCACCAAGCCCAGGCTGGGGACCATTCCTGGGAGTCATTTCGAGGTCACCTGATGAACGCTCCACTGCTTCCTTAGTGAGATTAAGGGTTTGTTCCTACCACACCACTCCTATCACCCCTACCCAGAGGATAGCGGAGCTGTGACTCAAACCCAGGACTTGTGAATTTCAAATCTGAAGCTTTTTCTCTAGCGTTTGATCACTTTAAGCAGTGTGTACACGGAAAGGATCGATAACTATCTGCTCAATATGTGGATTTATAAATATGAGGAGAAAAATGTGCTCAGATGGGAAGTGAAGTTAAATTTCAAAATAGTGAGAGTTTTGAGCAATAGTAATTACTTCGATGCAGAAAAAATACCTTGGAGAATTGTGTCACGGCTGCAGTGGATTAATAAACTGTGAAAAATAAACAAATAGATCATGGGTGCAGTCCACAGGCTCTCTGTTGGCCATTGCAGACACTTATTGGGTGTGCATGTAGGCCGAGCAGTGACCGAATGCAAAATCACTTCCTGCTCATGCCGAGAATGGCAGCCAGTGCGAGGCTGTCACAAGCGCCCCGTAAGTGTGTTGGTGCCGTGAATTTGAAGCATCTCGGGCCTCATGGGATTGAAGGCTCAAAGCCAGCGAGGGGACATTCTCTACAAGGGTGCAGACCCACCCTAGGTGTTGGTGCAGAGGCTGGTACTTCACAGCCTGTCCATAATCTGCAGTCCCATCTAACGTCTCTGTTTCCCCTGCAATCCAGGTAACAACAGGAGGAAGAGCCAGCTACTACGTGTCCTATCGAAGAGAGGCCTTTGCTCAGATAAAGCTGCCCAAGTACTCCCTGCCCAAGGTACTGCTTGAACTGCTCACTGTCCAGAGTCCTGCCTGACCAAGCAGGGGCTGCACTGGCTGCCTGGGTGGGTGGCAGGGGCCTGCACTGGCTGGACTAGTCTGCGTAGCTTGGCCACTGTGCTTGCTGCTGAACCTGGGTTCTGTATTCCCCTTCCAGCAGGCCTGACTTGGACTTCCTGTGGCCCACACAACTGGCGTAACCGGTAAAGTTACTCAAATGTGGATAGTGAGGACTCCTTCCCACAGAAAATGATATTAAACTGATATGAAAAGGAAAAGGAGTTAACCCTGCAAGCCAGGGTGGGGAGGGAAGCTGATCAGAGCTGCAGTGGTCCCTGGGGACCTGGAGGTGCTGGTTCCAGGACCCTGCAAATGCTGTAGTCCATGGACTCTCAGGGCCCTTACGCATGGTACAGTCGTTCCATACAGTCTACCCTGCAAATGCCGTAGTCCATGGGCTCTCAGGGCCCTTACACATGGTACAGTCATTCCATACAATCTGCACATGTCCCTCTGTGGAGTATAGATTGCCCCTGGATTACTTATAACACCTACTATGATACGAACACTCTGGGAAGAGGTATTGTGCTGTACTGGCTAGAGAATAATGACAAGGAGAAAGTCAAGTTGAGTACATTTAGTATGGATACAGGCCTATCTACAGTTCTGATCCACAGTTCATTCAATCTATCCACTTGGGACCCACAGATACACAGACCCAGCCACAGCTGTGCAGGCCTGATTTCAAGAGAGAGCATGGTTCCAGTAATAAACTATGAAGCTCTCTTGAGAGCCCGGGTTGCAGGAGAGGTAGAGGAGCTGGTGACGTGGGCAGGACCCACATTAAGATGCCACATTGTAGAGTGTGCCCACCAGATATTCTCAGCCTGAACTGGGAGGAAGAATCCCTTCCTGGAGCAAATTAGGAAGGGAAAATTCAGTCATACTTTTCCTAAAAGAGAAGGCCTCCTCTCAGTAACTAAGGTCTCCAACACTGGCCTAAGAAATGAGTTTCTGGAACGTTCCAAAGCGGGGCTCATTCTGCCTCCGTATGTGTGCATATTTTGTGTATCTTTAATCTTCTTAGGAAAACAAGCCATTCCTTCCCCTGGGCCGTGTGGCTGTGTGAGGACAAATGAGCTCTGGAATTGACTACCACCCTCAAGCTCTCCATTAATGATTAGCAACCCCATGGCAGGGTATTGTGGGGGGCATCGCCCCACCCAGGCAGCCCCTTCGTAGAACTTCATCCAGAGCAGCTTCTCATTAATATGAGGGCTGCTGGGAAAATAGCTGGATAGTTATCGATCCCCTTTGTTAGCTGGTGTTGGCCCGGATTTTTGTAGTCAAGGCTGATGAGGTGGAGACAGAAGATGGAAGGAGGGTTGGCTGTGCCCATTGTTTAAAAATGGAAAGGGCTTTTAGGCAAGTGGCTGCTGTTCCATGCAGCACCGTGGCTGCTGTTAGGCATCTGGCTTAAAAGCACGAGTGTGGAAAAGCTGCCTGCCACTGCTGCCCTCGTACTTCAGCTCCGGGCCTCTGGGTCCAGAGTATGCCCTGCACGATTTCTGGTGCTTTTCAGAGACTGCAGCGAGTGTCATTAATGATGAGCAGCTTTAGTGGGAGCAGCAGCTTTGCGCTGAGCCCTCTGTAACGCCGTGCCCAGCATCGGGCTGGCTCTTCAGTTCATGGGCATAAAAAGAGTGGTCCTGGCCAGGAAGTGGCCAGCGATGCTCGAGAGCAGTGGTGGCCTTGAGAAAAGCGCTTGCGCTTCGGAGCGGACACCTGATCTTCCGTTCCAGCTCTGCCACTCGCCTATCCATGAGCTCAGGTCTCCTCATCTGCAAAATCCCGTGTGACAAAGGCGCGAGCATTCAGGGAATGGCATAGATCAGGGCTTGACAAGTCGAAGGAATGGCTGTGCCCAGGAGGGAGTCATCCTGGTGCTCTCGGCCTGCTTGGCACGGAGCTCAGTGTTCACGATGGGATCACATCTCAGCGGACCTTGGACCCCCCCCCCCCACTTTACCACCCTGAGTGTGAGGTACCCTTTTCTGCCTCTTTGTCCCTGGGCCTATTCTTAATGTGCTACTCTGCTTGTCATTTATATGGGAGAAAAAGTTGGTTTACATGTAACAAGGCCAGATTCTCATCTTCCTCTCGTAAGTGATTAGTTGAGCTATCCTGCTCTTGGCCAATCTGGATAAAATACCCTATAATTTGACTTGACCAAACTTAGTCTTGGCTTTGCTGTTACCGTCACCCTCTGAACGTTGCCTGATGTTCACGCTTTTGCAAGCACTGGAAGCTTGAACTAACAGTGAGAGAACGGCCTCCCTCCGCAGCCCTTCTGAGGGTCACTTGATCCCGAGAAGAGCACCCTGCTCAGCTGCTCTTCACTACCCTGTACCTGCTCCCCGAACCCTGTTCTTTGCAGCTTTACTTTACTGCTTTCAATAGAAGCTGTGCTTTTCTTCCTTCCCTCTGAGGTGCTTGCAGATATGATCAGCAGGGGACTCTCCTTGCAGCAGTCTCCTCTTACCTAAGTCCGAGTAGATTGCTGTTATTTGACAGTAGAATATATTGTATCCTATTCTGAATGATCAAAAAGAAGAGAGGATTATGTCTTAGGAAACTTGTTACAGTAATAGTGGCCTTAGAGTTTACATTTCCACAAATACTGCTTTATCTTCCTATGCTGTGTCACAACCACACTTCTTAAAGCGTGTCATTTTGACTTTCTCACTTTCTGTTCACTTCTCAACTCTGTGGTAGTCACCCTCTACCCTCCTACCCACCTGTCCTCTGCTTCTAAATCCTCTAGCCATTGCTACCTGTGACCACCTCCATGCCAAGCCGCATAGCCCTATCTGCACTCTGTTCATCTCTCTGGAGCACGTGACATGAAGGGAAAACGAATCCATACTCGGTCCTCTTCTCCTCGGTGGCGTTTTCTTCATTTCCTTTGCTGGTTGTCCTCTCTCTGGCCGCACTTTAAATGTTGTGTTCCTGAGTTCTTCGTGAATTCATGTATCCCCCCGTGACCTCACCCCTTTTTCTCATATTGGTGAACGCTTCGTGCAAACCCACAGCCTGCGTCTCTCTGTGGTTCTCTCCTCATACTTAGCTGCCTATTTGAAGGAAATTGAAATCTTCATAAAAAAAACCCCGTGGAACCAGCCCACAACTGAGTCCTTGTCTCCACCCTCTGTGGCTCATATCTCATCCCTCTCTCCTCTTAATTTCCATGCTCCATTATTTATTCTGCAAACTTTCGTTATATGTCTACTATGGGCCAGATACTCAGTAAACACTGGAGATAAAATGATAAGTAAGAGACATTTTCTGCCCTCTAGAATCTTACAATCTAAGGAGAGAGAAAGACATCAAGCAAATGATTGCATAAGCGATTACTTAATCGTGACTGTAATGAATGGTGTAAAGAAAAAGCAGAAAGTTGTGTAAGTCAAATATCTGAAGCATTGTAGATGTGTCCTTCTGCACATCCCCAAACCATTTCACAGGGATCTCATAAGGAAACTACATCTTCAGTTCAACCCCTCAGGCATCATTACCTGAATTAGGGCAGGGACCCTTTAACCTTTCCTCACTCATGTCTGAACTTGCCCCATGCAAATCCACTCTTCACATTGATTCCACAATGAACAGGATCCCCTGAGGAACCTGATCCTTTGGCGCGAACCTCAGCATGGAGCAATTCTGAGCGTGCCTTTCCCTTGCTTACCACTTGGTGAGAGCTTTATACTACCTTGGGAGAAAAAGTGGAGTGAGCCCCCCAGAACCCCTTGAGATGGGGCCAGCCCCTTTCTGTCCCCACTTCCTGCAGAAGAAAACTGCTCTTGAGATGTAATGAGTGCCACACATTTGCATCTTTGCAAGCCGCACCTTTTCTCTTCTTTGTAAGCCTTTGCATTTCACTCAGCACATTTAGTGCCTCCATCTGGTCTGAGAAAGGCCACAAGAGTATGTAATGTCTCCACCATCAGGCATCTTTTGGGAGCAGACTCTTCCTTGTTTTCTTCTCTCTGTTGTGGTGGCTGGCACATAGAAAATGCTTAATAATTGAGGTAATTACATAATGAATTAAGCTATTGGAGGCCCAGATTGTAAGAAAACATTTCAAGGACATGGAAACATTTTCACCATCGTTCATCTAGGAAGTCAAAGGTTTGTGTTTTTACAAAGCAACTAAGATTCTCTTGAATTATTGTTGGCAGGGCAGAAAGGAGCATTATTTATCATTGTTTTCCAAATAAAAACACTTATGTGATTTATTTTATGTTCTTCAAATACAAAGTTGAAAAAGTCTCAATCTGAATGTGCTCACTGCAATTTCCCTCCTTCAGTTTCACCCTCTATCACCCAGCTTTCTCTCTGCATGTTCTTAGGACCATCAGGGAAGAATGGACACATGCTTTAAAGTTAGACTGAGGTAGCCAGATTCAAGAAGGAGCTTCATTATTGCCTCAATACCAGTTGGGCCAGCTTTATTTAATAATGCACTTATTTGTTCTTGCAGGCTAAATATTCTAGCTATTATTGGCCAACCTCTACTTAATTGTAAGAGCTACTTAGAAGGGGGTCACAGATTTGAGTTTTTCAGAGTGATTCTCCAGGGGTTAGCTATAACTAGAATAAGCCCATTGGGAGGGCTTACTCAGACGGTAGAGTCTAAGACTCCACACCAGGTCATTATCTCAAGCAGCAGGACCCATGAGTCTGCATCCTTTCGAGATCTCCAGATCAACTTGGGCATGGTGGTGCTTATCTGTAATCCAAGATACTTGGAGGGCTGAAGCTTGAGGGTTTCTTGAGCTCAAGTGTTCACAGCCAGCCTAGGCCACATAGTCAGAGCCTGTTTCTTAAAAAGAAAAGAAGGAAAAAAGGGGAAGAAGAAAAAAAATGAAGAAAAAGCTTGAGTCACAGGCAAAGATCTTCATGTTATTTGTTTTATGCAGGGATGCTGTATTCTTCTTTGACACGTTGTTGAAAACTGTAGGTTCTGGGTTAAGATAGTGTTGAGTTTAAATTTTAATAGTGTCAGTTGTTAGCTGGGTGACTTTGCAAGCTGAGGGATTTTCCAGCAGACATCCCAGAATCATAGATACCAGAGAGCAGCTCTTACCCTGGAGCCCAGATACCTGCTCACCAGGTGACATGGCCCAAGACAGTATTTACCAAATGTGCACTCACAGCAAACCCGGATGCCTCTAATTTTGAACATACCCTGGTGTTTAAATTGTTTACTTCCATTTCTTTTACATTAGCTTAGTCTCAAATAACTTAGCTCATTCATTTTTATGGCCAAAACATCTGGGGAAAACCAGACATTTCCATTGCATTTTTAACAGGGTAAGTGAATTTAATCTCTGTTTCCTGCAGCTGCTCTTTCCCCTCCTACTGGGTTCTTGGGCATTCATTCCACACCAACACAACACGATTTCCCCACATGGTTTTTAAGAGTAAGCCTTCTTTCTATTTTCAAGCAGCTCAGCAGGAACCTGTAATTCTACAAGATGTGTAAGCACAAATGACCCAGTGAGGTCTTAGTCAAGGTAACCTAGAGAGTTCAAGGCCAGAGGCTTTTTGACAATGGATCTTCAATAAAACATCTGGGATTTGTTTTCTTACTTCTCCCATCTTCCAGTTGCCCAAATGAAATGGACTTGCTCCTTTATGAATCATTTTGGAGGAGCTCTCTGTGGTGCTGACATTAAAAGCATTGCTGCCCCTTTTTACTTGGAATGATTTCTAGAACATGTTGGTCAAATAAAGCAAAGGCTGAACTCACCCTGACTATTAACTTACTGTCAGCCATAGTTTCCCAGGGTTCTGTCAAGGTTCATTCCACCACAAGGAGAAGGGTGTTTCTCCTTCCAATATTACTTTGTGGTATATGCAGCTGCACATTTGTGCATTTTAAAAATATAGCCATTTTATGCCAACACGTTCTCCTGACAGTATGAGTTCCCTTGGTAAAGGGCTTCAATTTGTGATCATGTTTGTACAGTGCCTAAATATGTACGCAAATTAGCTTTTGTCTTTTTTTTTTTTGAGTTGTGAATTACGAGATTTGATTTTAGAAATCACCTAGACCAAGATTACAAAGTAAAGTGACTTCAGGGACTAGGCAGGAAATGTGAGTAGGTAAGTGGTAGATCATGAAAATGTGTAGACAGGTGGGGCTGAAACACCAGTGGTGCTGATTCTGCCTAAAAGACAAGGGATTCAGGGATTTAGCACAGTATATGGTCAAACTGAACTCTTGTGATAATTGTTGGTTCTACTGATCATCTGTTTGGAATCCTTGATTCAGAGGCTATTTTTCCAAATGGCGGGGAGCTAGCCACTAAATTAGAGTCAAATTCCAGAGGTTTGAAATCTAGTCCTGCCATTTACAAGCTATGTAATCAGAAGCAGATTGGTAAATTTCTGTGCACACTAGTTTGTTCTTCAGTAGAACAGAAGTAGTCATGCTGTCTTCATCACAGAATCATTTTCGTTTCTGTTTGAAAAAAAGACATTAATATGACTTGAAAAGTGCCCAAACATAAAGCACCAACTTTTCAATTTGAAGGCGAGAAACTAACAGGGGGAGACTGACAGTTCAATAGTCACACAGCTGGCACAGAGTGTGTTGTTAGTGTACAAAACCCTAAATTCCGGGCTGGGTGTCCTGGCTTCTGTATCCGTGAGTTTCAAGTATGATGTAAATTCATAAGGAGCAGACTCTCCCTCATCTTTTACTTCCAAAATACTACGGAGAACTCCTGTGTATATGACAGATTCATCTGGTGCTGCCGTGATTGAAGCGGGGCTGAAAATCTAGAGCCTGACCAGTTGGTTGTGCCTGATGCTGAAGGTTTTAAAGAAAACTGCATGAGCCACTACACAGAAAATTTAAAAACAAAAGTTAGGATCAGAAGACAAGATAGGGGCTGTCTTCTCTGCATGTGTGAGCTTCCTCTAGCAAGACCTGTTAGCATGAACACTCATTTAGGGATAAAAATAAAAAGTGAAAGGGGATGAATCTCTTGATACCAGGGCAAATGCTGCCCAGCAAAGCCCCTGACACCCATCTTGCTGTCACTTGGCAATGAGAAGAAATAATGAAGCTCGTAATTCATAGCCTTGATCTGACAGAGAACTGTTTATCATTGCCTGTAACTCAGCCTTCTTCCCAACCATTTCATAAGTCACAGTAATTATTTGGGATCTCGCTGGCCAGGGAGGTATGGAGATCTGTTGCCTCACAGGACTTCTGTCTTCTTGCAGGACATGCACATCATCAGCACAGATGAGAACCAAGTGTTCGCAGCCGTCCAAGAGTGGAACCAGAACGACACGTACAACCTCTACATCTCAGACACACGGGGGATCTACTTCACGCTGGCCATGGAGAACATTAAGAGCAGCCGAGGTCTAATGGGAAATATCATTATTGAACTGTACGAGGTATGTAACCAAAATGGTCCCTCCCCTGAACTGACAACTCTTTTTCATGAGTTTTAGTAGAGTAAACACAGGTATTGGAGTCCTCGGTTTAGGTACCACCAGTACCACGTTGCAGTTGTGACTGAAGGAAAGGAACATAACTTCTCTGTACCTCAATTTCAGGATAGAGATGAAACACGTAGGTAAGGAGATGACTGTGGAAGGAGAGTTAATCAAGCTAAGCATCCAGTGTAGTGGCTGCCTCAATACAGCTGATTTTCTTGTCTGCATGCACGTTATTTCAAACCAGAAATGAAGGTCCACGCCCCTATGTGGCTTTTAAAACTGCACACTCCTTCTTATGGACCTTTGGTATGAGAATAGTAATGTTTACATGTTTAAGGTACTTGGAAAATTAAGTTTATGAGCACATTTTATAGGACAAAAGGCAACTATTACTGGCAGGATGGAGTGTTTTTGTAAGATGCCACCAAATGCCAGGTGTGCAGTATGAAGAAATGCCTTGATATAAGCTTGTCATTTACATTGTGTTTTTCTCTGTTTTCTTGTTTTGTTTGGTCAGTTAAAGAATAATTGCTCCAATAAAACCAAGTGATTTCACACAGAAACTAGATTTTTAAAACTAACTAGTGACCTAAAGATGTGGTGTTTTTTGGTACACCTAAGGGCAGCGTATAAGACTTGCCAGTCCCAGGCACAGTGAAGGGACTTGATTGATCAACGGATATGATGGATCGACACAAGGGGAGACCGTGTGGTCCTACTCTCTGCCATTAGCCAGGGCTGCTGGCCATGCCCAGGCTGGTTATGATGGTTGAGATCCTACTGGGAAGGCTAAGTTTCCTCTCGTAAGCATGGCCTCAGAGGGCCTGGCTGTGTAGTCCCCTTGTGGATTTTCCTCTCTGCCGAGTGGGAGGGGTGCAGGGGTCAGTGTGAGGGAGGGGCTGTCTGCTTTGCAGCGGTCTCCTCGGTCGTGCTTGTCATATAGGTCTTATATCCCTGCACTGCTAGCTCGGTTGGCTACTCAGCTACTGAGAGTGGTAGACATAGTTAAGATTGCAGCTCTTCTATTAGGAAGAGGAATGGTAACACAAAGGCATGATGTGAATGGAAATATATTTAAAAACAAAAGGAATGAATGTCACTGGGTAGAAAACAAAATCAGTAGAAATACCCAGATTTCCTAGAACATAGCTGGCAAGTGCTAAAATGATTCACTTTCACAACAAGGCTCCAGTTCAGGAAATGTCCCAGATTTCTTCCTAGTTGTGAAGACCAGTAGCAATAACTAAGAGTATAAAGAGCTTTGTCGCAGGATGCAGGAACACACCATTGTTATTGGCAATAAGTTACACCATAGGGAGGGTGTGGATGAATGCTTTAAGACTGAGGTCGTTTCTGGTTTCTCTTTGCCCGAGTAAAGGCATAGAGGTAAGGTGTCTATTTGTGGCTCTGTGATGACACCCAAACAGGAGATCATAACTACTGCCACACATGACCTTACAGTCAAGAAATCAAGAAATCCCTGCCTCTCTAAGCTTCTTGATTGATACAGTAGGCGAATTCGCCCCTCTGCTGTTCCTTCTCTCAGAGAGGGTGCCTGAAATTCCCCGGTCAGTTAGAACCTTGAGACATTGCGATTTGAAGAGGAGAATGAATCAATATGGAGAATGTGCCCAGATACATAATTTTTTCCTCTTGGTGAAGTTGGTCTTAAATTTTCAGTCTTGTTGGGGGAAAATGCATCCTGTTACTCCATTTGTAGAGAAACGAAAGGTACCAGGCAGGGCAACTTCTTTAAAGCCAGCCCTGTGAGCCTGTCCTCCATTGAGCTTTACCAGAGCTCATTGTGGCCAGGCCCACGAGGAAGTCAGAGGATTACTTGGCTCTTATCCTTGGGGATCTTGCACTCTAGGTCGTTGACTTTGAAAAGGTCGGTAAACAACGCTACCTTTTACCTGACCAAAGCTGAAACTACTTGAGACAGAGAGAAGAATTGAGACAAATGGAGATCAAACGCAACTTTATCACTTTAAAAATTATACAGGAGGAATTGGGATTACTACTCTTGTGGCTTGGAATTGGAAACATCCTTTTAACACAGGCAGCGGTGGTAAAACAGATGTTTTCCTGTAGAAGCTTTTTTCCTGTAGCAACACAGCATTGAAGTACAGAATACATGAGCTGTTCAGAAGGACCTCAGAACAAGAGAGACTGTAATAGTTTCTCTAGTGTGAGAAACTGAGAGTGTAAAAAAGGATTAAAAGGATTAATAACTAATAATTGATAATTTGAAATAGGAAAAGGTCCAAAGGTGTAGGGGTGGTGGGAGGAGATGGGGAAAGGAAAGAAGGGAAAGGAAAAATTATGAGAAAAGAAAAAAGGATGGGAACAAAGTCTGTGTAAATAGGGAAGGGTGGAGGGGGTGAAGGGTGCATAGGTAATGGGGAAAAAATAAGAACCAAGATGCATCATGTACAGGTACAAACACCCAATGATAAATGTAAACGTATTGTATACCTAAAATGTACCAATAAAAGATTTTAAGAAAAAAAAAAAAAGAACAAGAGAGACTGGGATGAGCTGTACATCCCTTACTATTTTTCTCAAAGTTTCTGATCTTATCAGCTCTTCTTAAAACACGGAGCAAGAAGTGAAGAAGTGAGAGGCATCCGAAACATTAAGAATGGGATGAGCCCAGACCTGGACAGATGGTGTAGATTTTTGATACGGTGAACTAGCCAATCTAATTGAATAGAATGGATGGTTTCCAGGGACAAGAAAGAAGTCAGGATACATAGTTGGATTTCAGATACTAGAAGGCATTTAATGACGAGTGAACACATTGAAGATTTGTGGTGAGTAGTGCTGTTTTGTACCTGGAGGTACATTCTGTGGTTTGGAGATAAAGCTCAGTTTAATTGGTCTCAAGGGGTCTTTAGAATTTAACCTTTTTTACTAGAGATTTTGCACAAGCTGAAATTGTGTACCACATCGCCAGTTAGCAAAGAGACCACAGTTTTTCTGGATTCCAAGTGCCCTTGAGCAACACAGCTGGGAAAAGGAGTAAGTTTTCACATTTAGTCAGCTTGTACACTGTCACAGAGCACGGTTTGTTTGGCGAAAGAGGACTGGTGAATGAGAACTTCAGTCTACCATACCGATTGTGGCCTAACTTCTCTTAGAGTGCAGTTCTCCCATGCTGTGAGATCAGAAGAGAGGAGATCAGCTCCCGCTTGAGGAATTTAGAGAAACTTACAAATGAGTTGGCTTAGATGATGAACTGCGGGAGAGGGGAAGAAAAGGACCAGAGTCAGAGGAGTAGGGCCTATGTTCATGGAACATTGGGTGGCTTTATGAAGTTCTGGCAATGAAGCTAGTGAAGATGCTGATAACGAGCTTGAGTGAAGAGTTGAGTGCTTATTCTGTGGGTTATGATGTCTCTTTATTCTCTCATATTTACATACTTGGCAAATAATATCTTCATATATGATACAGTCCCCTGTGCCAGGTCAATTTGTAACACCATAATATAATAGGAAATGGTAACATTTCCACATTTCCTCCATCTGAAAGGTCAGGGATGTCTGTAATAGTCAGGTGCCAGGTGGTTTGGATTGTCCTTGACCTCCTAAAGCTGCTGGTCTGTCACTCCTTCTGCACGAATGTCTCCAGTCTATTCTGAACAATGGGGAGGAGACAAGGAAAGCAAGAACTTATTTGGGGATTCAGCTCACCACAGGGAGTCCTTGGAGAATGAAATAAATCAAGTCCAGTGAACTCCCCCAAATCTAACGAGGTTGAGACAATTTCCGTCTACTCTCTTGGAGTAGTTTCTGGCTGAAGAAATATTCTCTTGTTCATTCTCTAATCCCTACTTCAAAATATAATATTGTCATGGTTGTAATAACATAATTAAGGGGAAAAATAACCCTTGAGAGCCAAATAATAATTGATCTCTTCTTTAAGGTACCAGAAGCTGTCTTAGTTACTTTTCTCATTGCTGAAACAAAGTACCCGACTACAAAGGTTAAAGGAGGAAAGGTGTACTTAGCTCACAGAGGTTTCAGTCCACAGTTGCTGGCTCCAAGGCAGGGTGGTGTGCCAGGGACCATCACAGAGGAGAAACAGTCCATGGGGGGCAGAAGGCAGCAACTCAGCAAGCAGCAAGTGACCAGTGACTCCAACAGCCCTCTTTCTGCCCCTTGTATTCTGTCCAGGATACAGGCACTTAGGGCAGGTAGTACTCACACCCAGAGTGGGATTTCTCATTATTCACTCACAGAACTATGCCAAATCAATTAGTGGACTAATGTAGTCATTACACACCCTTGATCCCAGCATCCCACATGCTAGACCCAGCCTCCTAAGAAAAGCCTCACCTACGAGTGCATGAGGCTTGGGAGGACATCTAGACACAAACCCTAACAGAAGCCTACCCCTTCAGAGCAGGGCTGCTGTTGACAGTAAAAGTAGTCCATTGTGTGTGCTTCTTCGTATTCCTGCCACATTCTTTTTTCACACAAAACTCTATTGTGTTTTTTCCCACATCCTTAACAATAAACTACATTGCTCTTTAGTGCTCTCCACTGATGAACTGAGGAACAGATATTCTTTTCAACAACAGTTATGCTATGGAAACATGCTCTGAGCTGCTGGTCTGATGAATTTTCCTGAATGCTTTCCTAGATATTAAGTATTCACTTTGTAACTCCTTATAATAACAACAGTTTAGCAACAATGTCTTCTACCCCCATTGTCAAATACAATGAGTATGTAACATGAGTTATACATAAGCTTTTAAATTTTTGCTACCCATATTCAAAACTGTGAGAAATAGAAACAATGAAATGTAATAATATATTTTACTCAAATGAAATGTCTGCAATATCATTTTAGTACATGTTTAATATGAAAAATCATTAATGAGGAATTTTATATTTTTTCATACTAAATCTAAAAAATCCTGGCTATATTTTACATTTCCCATGCATCTCAAT